AATCAGATGCTTCCGCAGATTTATAGTATTACTATAGCATTTCACCTGAGCATTGCGAATTGCGCGTATGGCCATGATAAGTGCTGAATGAATGACAGGATTTCTGTTGTCGCGCAAGGTAAATAAGGGTGACATCTAGTGGAGAAGACTAATGATAAGATTCACGTTAATCAGATCTTGTTTTAAATGTGTGCTGAAATAAATACTTGAAAAGATCGATTCGCGGCTTTTGAGAATCGATATTGAATCGACGTCATTTTAAAAAACGATTAATCGGAAATCGATTTTTTTTGCCCAGCCCTAGTACTTACAGGCTGTGAGTCAGAAGCGCCAGACTGTCCTTGCAAAGTTGAAACTGCCCAACTTTATAGAAACAGCCTTTGTGCCACAGACGCATTGTAGGCTACTGGTTCAGGAAACAGTCCTCATCCTCCATAAAATATGCAGCACACATCTGCATATTTGGGTTGAACTGTTCTGGAACAGTGTTGTAAATACAACTTAACCACTGATTTCTAGTTGTGTCCTCTTTTGGAAGGCCAAACAAAGTAATTTCGCTTTCACAACGAAACACACAGCGACTCCACAACATAGCAGCAGCGGCAACAGCAAGAATAAAAGTTACGCCTTCTTTCTTTCCAAACATTTTGGCGGCGTTATGCAAATCTTCCCACATCTTGACGTAGACATGTGGGGCGTGTTAGAACGAGCCGTTTTAGGTAGGTGTGGTTGACTCTTAACTTTTATAAAGAATATCTCTTTGGATTTGAGACTTTAGTCTTTGCAACTTTACAGATCTTCTTTATGCACCAAGAGCTTGTAACACTCCAAAGAGAAAGGAAAACTTGAAATCACATCATATGACCCCTTTAATAAGGAAATGAGATAAATCAGACCCACCAGTGTTTGACCCTTTTACTGGATGACTAAGAAATGTCTTTTTTCCCCTAAACTTTTTGGCAGGGTGGAGGAAGGCAGATTCAAATTTTTAGGGTTTTATGACAGACAACTGAGTCACTTCTATATTTAGACACCATAAGGTTGAAGACATAACAAAAATTACGCAAATGTTGATTGTTAAAGGCAAATATAGAGGCTAATGAGGCAGAAAAATGGCAAGGACATTTTTGAACATGGAAAGGAAAACCTACTTTAGTTCTATTTTTCATTATAGGTTCTGGATCTGTACATATGTATGTTACAATATTTAAAATTGCAATTAATATACTAGATTTGCAATTATGATAATTACTGAATTATTATAAATAGTTAAAAAAAATTTTACTAACTAAAAAGAGTTCTTTATGCGCCAAGAGCTTGTAACACTTCAAAGAGAAAGGAACATTTTTAATCGCATCATATGACCCGTTTAACTATTATGAAGGACTCCAATTTTATACTCACCAGCTTAAGTTTTTGCTTCTCCTAACGTCACTTAGCAGACATCTTACAACACTTTATCTGAAGTATGAATCACATTATGTTGCATTAAAGCAAAAATTAGCTGTGCAAAAATAATATAAATCAATAATTTAAATTAGAATTAAACTTACAAGAGCTCAACTGATCGACAATTTCAGCATGAATCTCAGGCCGTCCTTGTAAACACCCAGTAAGGCAAAAGTAACCAACTGTGGTAAGCATGAAACCAAGGCTAAATGTAAGACAGCTCACTGTAGGTTAAAAGGACAAATGAAGCGTTACATGAGAGTGAGAAAAGCTTCAAACATGTCAGAGAAACAGAAGTATAGTTGACAGGAGCCGAGGTGATTACATAATGCACTGAATTCTTACTAACAGTGAGGACGAGCCGATGGGATTATTTCTGACGCGCGCTTGTTTGTCTATCGCTGTTACCGGACAAACAAACGCAATAAAACTCGGAACCTACACACAATAACAACAACAGTGTTTCTTTGTGTTCAGTGTTCGTATCCAAACGGAAAGTGGACGGTAATGTCAGTCTAATACGTTATAGCCGCGCTTGTGTTTCAGCTCGCTCGTTACACAACAAGCCTCATACTTAGCAATGAAATCACGCGCTGGTTAGCTTAGCATGAGCTCTCGTCGAGCAAACCCGAGGCCCACACATCCCCATACTTACATTTCCAGATAGACTGCGGATGTCAGCGCTCGTTCCCACTTCGGTCTCTCGGTTGCGGGTATTTTCGGAGTCGATAAGCTTGTCGCTTCTTTTAAAAACAAACAATCAAGGTGACTTCACGTGAGAAGCGATCATTCCGTTTACGGTGATTCTCTGCTTTGATAGCGTGAATTTTTGCGCATGTTTAACGCCAACGCAGATGTCCCTGAACAAATCTGTCGACTTATTGACTAAATCTGTCTAAGTTTCGTATCAGTATGGGATCATGTTGTGGGATAAATCATTACATAGATCCGAATAATCAGCTTCTTCTTCTTCTTCTTGTACGATTTTATGGCGGTTGACAAGCCCGAATAATCAGCTTCTGTAGGGAGGCCAAGATATCCTTCGGTTCAGAGTCTTGTGCGTCTTGATGGAGGGGAGGGATACTTTCTTCAAGTGGCTCGATGATTGGCCAAAACTGTACTAGGCGTGTTTGCTAATTGGATTATTTTGCTGACAGCTAAAACTACAGATGGCCAATCCCACGATTTGATTGGCTTTCGTCTTGTCATTTTACCGACATGACGCTTGAACAGTAGTTTACATTAAACAGAACTCCTGCTTTTAAAGGATGTACTGTTTGACTTCTTTAATATACAAAAAGATCAAATTAATGAATATTTTATTATTAACCTATTATTACTTCTTGCAAAATTTCATATTCACTGCAGTAAATTCACTATACATATAAAGTTTTTTGAACACTAAGATTTTTTATGTTTTTTTAAAGACGTCTCTTTATTTTTATTTATTAATTTGTTTATCGTTTATTTAAAAAAATTTTGAAATGTTACAAAAGCTTTTTATCTCAGATAAATGCTGATCTTTGGATCTTTCTATTCATCAAAGAATCCTGAAAAAATTCTACTCAGCTGTTTTAAATATTAATAATAATAATAATTAGAAATGTTTCTCGAGCACCAAATCAGCATATTAGAATGATTTCTGC